CAGTTTTTTTTTTTTTTTTTTTTTTTGTGTGTGTGTGTGTGTGTGTTGAGTGAGTGTATCTGACTGCGTCCATCCGATGTGTACATTCGCGCTTGTTTTTGTTTTTGTGAAATTTGACGTTGGTTTTTTATTTTATTTTAAATATCGATTTATTTGTGCCATCGGGCCTCACTTCACTACTCTCGACATGCACAAAAGACAGAAAATATGGTGATGTATCTTTCCATGTTCTAGAGGATTATTCAGTCTCATTTAGCACATTTCCGAAGTAGTGGAGAGAAGCCAATCCTTGCGAGAGAACATTTTTGTTTTGTTTTTTCAAATTTCTCGATTTACTCATGCACAAAAGACATAAAATAAAATATGGTGATGTATCTTTCCATATTCTAGCGGAGTATTCAGTCTCATTTCGCACATTTCGAGAGTAGTGGAGTGTGGCTAATCTTTTGCGAGAGAGCAATTTTTTTTTTTTTTTTTTTTTCGAAGCAAACAAACTCATATCCGAATCGAACAGAAACGACAGCCGAAAGAAACCAAACGACCAAAAAAAAAAAAAAAAAAAAAAAAAAAAAAAAAAAAAAAAACACGCAAAACGACGCTCCCCACTATCCAACGGCCCCCCTCGCAAGATATTCCCTCGCATCAGCGGCCGTCCGGGGTCGCTGACAACCAGAGGTGCCTTCTCCTTTGCCGAGGAAGTGTAACATACCGTTACACAACACCCTCTGCACGCATCTCACCCGCCCGAGCCCTTTATCCAACCGTCTGCGCTCCGACTCACGCTGCCTCCCGGCGCGCAGCTTGCCATCCTCCCCCCGCGGCCAATACGCCTTAAGGGGTAGGACGTATTTACATTGGCCTCCCAATTATCAAAATTTTCCTCTTTCTTCCCGCCGTAGGACTCGGGAAACTTCATCTTAAGGGGCTCTCTACGGGGGCGTGGCTCTTCCTCCTTTGGCACAACCAGCTTTGCGCCCTCAATGGCGCCTGTACAAAACTTCTCCTTGCACTCTAATCTCGCCTGCACCTCGACACCTACGTGCCGCATCATCTCATGTGCGAAATCTCTGAAGCCTAAGCGTATGGAGTGCAAGGTCATATCTTGGGCTCTCAAAAACTGATACCGCTCCTCCCAGGCTTTGGCTAAGAGCTCAATGTTCTTAGACATAATATCTAATTTCCCTTGTATGTCAGTTTGTGCCTGGATCTGCGCTCGTTGCTCCTTGATCACCTCCAACTCCCTCGCTATTTGCTTCGCCTCATCCATCCTCCTTTGCTCTCCCTCATAAGACGCAGTTTCCATTCTAACTTCTTCTCATCCTCGATTGTCTGGCGTCTTAAGGGATCTTGTTCCGCTTCCCACTCCTCAATTACGACTTCCTTCTCCTCTGGGGGAACATACAACATGGCCTCTTCCTCCTCTCCCAGAGATAAGTTAGCTACCCACTCAGAGATCTTCTTTTCCAGCCTTGATTCCTCCTTCTTCGTGCCACTAAACTCACCTCTCTCCTCCGTGTGTCTTCTCTCCAAGGGCTCCTCCTTTTCCTCCTCTTCTTCTACCTCTTCTTCTTCTACTTCCTTCATCTTGTCTTCCTCCTCCTTCAGTCTCTCCATCTCTTCCTCCAACTTCTTCATCTTCGCCGCCTGCTCCTACTGTAAGGCCAACTTTCTGGCCTGCCTAATTAACTCCTTCTTGGCCTCCTCTCTCTTTAATTACGGCGGCGGCTTGCTCTTCCTGAGCTTTCGTATAAGGGGTGGTAGTCTTGCCACTACGTGTCTCGACCATAGCGACAGGTGCACAACCGGATGATAGTTCCACCCCTCACCACTTAAGCTCACACCCCTGCCTGACTCAACCTAGGACGGACTCAATCTAAGGACCACATAATCTTAACAAGATCCTGTCAGCTATGGTCTCTAGCCTGGACCTAAACTAAGGCTGTCACTACAGGACTTAAAGCTGATCAGGAGGCATTTAAGGAGATCCCCCGTAACTCCTCAGGAATTATTTAACGTCGCAGACAGGACGACGCGATCAGCAAGTCCTCTAGACTTAGGCAGCCTGTTGTGCAACCCACAACTCGGATTTCGGGCCTACCGTGCCACACCGACCAGCTTGCCGGTCAGTACCGGTCCTTGGGAGGGTTTGTGTCCTCCGGGACAGTCGAGTCGTCAGACACGGCCTTTAGCCCTACTCAGCCCGTGTGGGTTTGGTCAACAAGGCGCTATCCTTCATACACAGAGTTCCTATTACCTGGACAAAAGAGACTCAATGCAGAAAGAAGAGACAAACAGACTCAACAAGTACCATGGGGTGAGTGCACATCCATAGGGCGAGGGGATAAGCTGAAGGCTTCGCGAGAATATACCAACTCCAGCTTGGTCAATTTCATGGTCAACAACCCCGGTCAACGCTGGTCAACGCTTGGTCAACTCGTCGGTCAACACCTTGGTCAGCGCCAGTCAACTCGCCGGTCAACTCTCTGGTCAAAGTCTTGGTCAACGATGGTCAACTCTTCGGTCAACGCCTTAGTCAACCCTTGATTCGGTTATGGCTGCCGGCACCTTTCTTCCTCAGCAACCTTCCTTATCCTCTTTCTCCCTCCTTCCTTCTTTCTCTTTCTTCCTCGCTTCACCCCGGCTATGGCTTCCTTCACTTTTCTTGTCCCTCCTTTCTTCTTCGTCGGCTATGGTTTCTCTCTCCTCCGTCCCTCCTTCCTTCTCCTTCACTTCACTTGTCTCTCTCTCGGTAGCCCTGTGTCCGAGCTCTGCGCGATGGCCGCCTTCTCCCTTGAACCGCACAACAATCTTGTATCACTCCTCTCTCTCTCTCTCTCTCTCTCTCTCTCTCTCTCTCTCTCTCTCTCTCTCTCTCTCTCTCTCTCTCTCT